TTTATATTTCTTATAATACTTATTATAGTAAAAAAATGTCTCTGTAAGCTATAAATTGTGTTCAAATTTGTAATAGCAATTTTTACAACTTATTTTTCTTTATGTTTCTTGCTGTACCACAAATTTGAACCACTTTTAAAAATTTTTTTAATACTACTTAGAAATTTTTACTAAATATATAGGTTATATTTGGCTACAACATATTAAAATTTGGCTAATTTGAATAAGTAGTTCTTGAGAAATTGCTTAAAAACTACAAATAATTATTTTAAAAAATTGCTTTGAGTTTTTAGATAAAGCTATATAACAATAACTCTTTTTAATGATCTTTTGTACCAATATTTTACTAAAAGTCTGAACTACAAAAACTACTTAGTATACATATTTATTTATAACAAAACTCTATCATTAGTAGCTAGGAGTAGTAGTTATTCACTATATATAGTTGAAATTAAAAAAAAAAAAAAAAAGACTCTTATAAGCAAGACCCCTAGTAGAAAACTAAGATACTACTAAAAAAAAAGGTAGCAAACCTGGTCTAAAGCTATATCAAATACTACCAAAGCAATAGCAGAAAAAAATATTTGTTTTTACTAGGGATTGGAACTGTTATTCATTTAATCGCCTAAATCGTTTATTTATTTTATACAGTTAAACAAGTAAACAATTTTATAAACAATTAAAAACCATTAAATTATTCACTTAACCGCTTTTTAAATTTTATATGATTAATTGTTTAAAGTTCATTTATGCCTCACGTGGGGACAAACAAATATGCATATGTGACATGTTCATAGGAGAATATTTGTCTGATTGGCTATGTAAATCAATTGCCCGGATAACTTATTTATATACTTTACAGTATTTTTTGGGAAATTCACTATGCAAAAATAAATCCCCATGTTATTTATTACTATGTATCTGTATTAGCTATCTATATACATGAAAAAATAGTTGAATAAAAAGAATGATCAAGGTATTTAAGGTAAATTTAGATTTTAAAAAAACTCTTATGATACTGTACAATCTGTTGGCTTATTGTATTTAAGTTTAAACTACTTTTAATGATTCTAATACTTATTTATATTATTTTAGTATTAAATAGATTTAATATGGATTACAGTAGTATAGATAGAAATGTATAGTAGTATTTAAACCAAAGATGGTAGTGCAATGGCTGTAATAACTGAAAAATAAGATTATTATTTAAAAATTTATATTAATAAACAGTAAAATTTTTTGAAGGCTTTTCTTTGACAGGTACAAATACGAATAACAACTAAAAAATTTTATTATGTAGGGTATCGTCTAATTGATTATATATTTTAAAGATAGTAGTAGCATCTCTAGTAATAATTAAAATATAATTTCTACTAAATTATGTAATTAAATATAATTAATAATAAATCAAAATGCCAACATGTATTCATTTTACGACTATCTAATTGTACATTATTATTAAACACTAACTACAATGCCTCTTAAGATCTACCAGATATGATGGTATACATGACTATGTGTTGCTTTATCTTCATATGCCGTCTAATCAGGTTGCTGAAAGTATTTCAGCATTCTTTTGAATTTGTCTAATTTATCAAAAGAAATCCATTTGAAATTTTTTAATGCAATTATCAATGGATTTTAAAGTGTAATATTAGAAGCTTGGCATATTTTCATTCTTATAAAACTACAATATATACTCTGGCCACTATATCAAGATCGCAAGGCATATATCAGTTATACGCAATTGCCCAGAATATAACTATTACATATCCAATGCTAGCATACATTTAGTGATGGTTATGTTTCTTATTTTATTCTTGCTAATTCTTTAAGGCTTTTAAACAAAAGTACCAGTGCTCATTTTTGCGAATGATACAACCCTCCCCCAAAAAAAAATTAGATTGAATATTAAGATCAGATCAGGTAGGGCTTGTGGTTAGAATGTAAAATTTCTCATTTTTAATTAGTACCACTTTCATATAAACTGGACAAATAATTACACATTTGGGCCTGATCTTTGATTTAATAATAAGTAGAAGGTTTAAGTCCAATACCATTTGCACATTGATAGCATTTCACCAACCTCACGAACTTTATAAAAAATACCAAGAGCAAAAACTTAACATACCAGTTTTAGTGGAGAGCGCATAATTAGTTTCAGCATGAGTATCCTCACAAATTATTACATCAAAATGGCTGCATCTTCAAAGCCAGAGATGTCAATTTGTCATTCATCTAATATTTGCGTGCCAAGAAATGGCTATTTCAGTGAAAGTGCAATTAGTAGTGCTGCTGCTCCACCCATATCAAGTGATGAACAAGTAAAAATTGTAACTTATCCAAATGCCATAAATATGCAAAATACGAAAAGTGGAGAAAATGATAATATAGATCCTGATGAGAAAAGTAAATGGTAAGTTAGTATATAATAAAATTCAGTAGAATTTGTATAAAAATTTTTTGCTAAAATTTCCAAATTACCAATTCATGGTATAGAGTTATATAATCGATTGTTTATGATCTTTCATGTTCAGCCTTTTTTTTTCATCTTTTTAAATAAAATAGGGTTCTGAATTTAATGATTAGTGCACTGATTACCAGAAAAATAAGTCTTTCGACCTATCACATTACTTACTCACACCATAATATCTTCTTTTATTCTATATTACCTTTAATGCACAACCGATTAAAATATGGCGATAATCTTTAAATCAATTTCTTGTGATATACCGGTATGATCTAAATTGGAATCGGAGTAATTAGCAATCAAATAAAATCAACACTTAAAAAAAAAAGTTGAATCAACTTCCTCTTGTTAAAGATAAATAATATTCAGGATAATGAACTTTGGGCTAATGATAATTTTGAAACTGATAGTGAATATAACATTAATAATAATAACAGTAGAGGAATAGGATCTTCTTCTAAATCATCATTGGCATTAAAAGACAAAAAAACTACTGGCCTACCAAAAAAAGAAAAAAGCACAGACTCGTAGCTGAAGCATAGCAATATTTTAAATTAGAAGGAAATTTTGCAATATGTCAAGTTGAAATAACTCAAGATGGAAAAAAAAAATATGCGAGTGTAAATATGATCGTTCTAATTTAAATTCAACAATATTAATGAATTACCATATAACACAAGAACACGATATAGTCCTTAAAAGTCTGGCTAAAAAAAGTATTATTTAATTTATTGTTATCATTATTCTTAATAAGTAGATTTATATTATCCAAATTATTATAATTCTGTAATATGTAATAGGTGGGAAGAAAAGAACAGGTTATACTTGAACAAAATGTAGAAAAAGTAAAACCGCATAACACAAATAAACAAAACAAATTACAAGCAGCATGTACAGAATGGATTGTTCTGGATTCTTTGTCCTTTAATACACTTTGTGGAAAAGAATTTCAGCAATTTATAAAAAAAATTGATCCACGATTTAAACCACCATCTGATAAAGGATGTAAGAATTTTATAGTAGCAGCTTATCAGGATAGAATAACCAAACTTAAAATGCAAATTAATAAAACATATGAATATGCTACCATTACTACAGATCTCTGGACTGACAGATTCAAATTTGGATATATCAGTATTACAATTCATTGGCTTACATCTAATTTTGAAATTATTGATGTGCTTCTTACTATTGAACATATACGGTACCCCATACAGCCGAGAAAATTAATGATTATATTAATAATAAAATAGACAAATTTGGTTTAAATAAAAAATTATTTCTAGGGGTTATCAATAATGGTCCTAATATGAAAAAAGCCTTTATCATGTGGGAAGATATTGAATAGTTAATCTGTTCCACTCATACTCTTCAACTATCGGTGACAAAAAGTTTAAAAAAAATTAGCTCTTATGTAAAAAGATTCAAAAAATTAGTAAAGTTTTTTACGGAATCAGTTAAACAATCTGAGCAGCTTGATGCAGCACAAATAGCTCTTGCACAACAGAATCATATTAAAAAAAAGGATGTTGAGGTTGTTCGATTTAATCAATTATCAACTCTTGATATGGATGAAGAAGTTAGTTCAGAAAAAGAGAATAAAGATGATAGAGAAATCGATGAATCTACAATAAAAGTATTGCGTAATATTACTGATATTTGTACTAGATGGAACTCTAGTTACTCTTCATGGACAAGACTTCTAGAATTAAAAGATGCAATAAAGTGGTTAGCATTTGCGTTACCCTTAAAAAAAGGAAAAGAAAATAAAAAAGATGGTCAAAAATTGTCTCAGTTACTGTTGAAAGATTATGAATGGGATTTGCTACAGAGAATCGTTAATGCATTAAAACCATTTGACCAGGCAACAAAATTTTTTTTGGGAAGCAAATATCCTACCCTTTCAATAATGTATCCCATTATTCATGAATTACAAAATAAATTTATAGAGTTTAGTTTAATAATAATGAAAATAGTGATGATGAGGATGGTAGGTTTTGTCAAAATTTACTGACATGATGATTAACAATTAAAGTTTACTGATGATTAGTGATCATAATGATTACTAATCACTAGCAGATTTTAGACATTAATGTTAATTCAGGTCTATCAAATAATTGATTGTGGGATAATTAATTGCAATTTTATGTAATTAGCTTACATATTATATTCGCTATAAGATTATTACTTACATGTGATTTTTGATTTTTTGCAGCAGGTTTTACTAGGTACTGTATACAATGCTCTACAAATATAGTAAAAAAAAATTGAGCAATTATTTCGTCATTAATCAGGCTTTGATTAATTTTGATAATTTTAATTGATTTTAATTGTATGATATATGGTAAAAATTACTATAATTTTTCGGTAGACCTAATTAATTAAATTACTGTATAGTGCTTAGTCGTAGTGTATTAAAAGAATTAAATACCATGCAGTGATAAAATTTATATTGCTCATCTCTACTACTAATCAGAATCGAATGCAGAAATTGAATGTATTTTCTAACTTTCTTTCAAATTAATTAGACATGTTATTAGATTCTGAAAATGATAATGATATTCCACCACCGCCATCTGATCTTGATCAAATAGAAAAACAATTTAAAATTGCTATTTCTAATTCTTTGAATAAATATTGGCATGAATTTCATGATATTGGATTGATAGCTACTCTTTTAGACCCCCGAACCAAAAAATTAACTGTATTTACAAATAGAGAATGAGAAAAGGCTGAAACAAAATTAAAGAATGAATTTGAGAATTTACATCTTAATATTACTAGCAATGATCAACCAGAGCAACAAGCATTACCATCAATGGCCACTGAAATAATGCAAAATCCATTTTTTGAAGGTATTTTTGGAGTACGAAGTCAAGAAGATACACCTTTAGATGAGGTGGCACGATATCTAATGATTACACCTATTAACTATAATGCTAATTCTTGGCAATGGTAGAATGATCATAAGACTGAGTTTTCAAATTTATCATTGTTAGCACGTAAATATTTGTGTGTACCAGCTACATCTGTTCCATATGAGAGACTTTTCTCAGATGCAGGAAACCTAATTACTCTCCAACATACACAATTAGGCCCAAAGATCGTTGAAAATATTTTTTTTATTAAGCTAATGCTGAATGTCTAAGTAGGTTCAAAATTTATATATAGATTTAAATTCGAATATAATTTTTTTTCACACGCAATTCTTTTTTATGTTATTTGCAATAGACTTAATCAAATAACAATTAAAAAAAAAAGGTATACACGATCTATGCTGAAAAAGTCGAATACAAAGATACTAGCATAATCATTATTATCAAAAGTGTGGTAACTCTTATGTCTACTAAAGGAATGAGCATGAAATTGCTGTAAGCAAAGGTACTGATGATGGATATAATCCTATTGTATGGAATAAACTAGTTGAAAAGGGGTTTATAAGAATTGCAATAGTGGCTTGATTTTTAATGAAAAATGGTACTATTCAAAATTCTATTCTAAGTTGCATAATATAACCAGAATATGTAATTAGCTGTTACGTATATTCATTATGGACCATTTGTCAGTTATTGTGGTGAGCATATAGATAGTACTAAAAAAAAATTTTTTTCCTTGTATATTCGTGCATTTTGCAGTGAAATTTTAACTTTAAAAATAGAGATAAAGAATAAATTGAATCGTTAGTGTTATTTGCAGTTTAACAATGGTATTTTTTCTATTTTTATTTTATTTTTAATAATCTTCCCTAATGTAATATAAATAAATAATATATACAAGTTTTTAGACATTGTTAATATTAGATCTCAATAATTATTGCTATATTGATATGAATACGATGATTAAATAGGCTGCCATTAATAGAAATCAAGCAGATTGACATTTCGAAAAAAATTAATGCCTTAGCTTTCACCACCTATATCTCAATGAATTTCAAAGCAATTTTTATGATTTAATAGTCAAAGAAAGCTCAAGATATAAGCCTTCTTTTGACTATTAAAGTAAGAAAATAGCTTTGAAATTTATCTAGATATGGGTGGTAAAAGTTAAGGCATTAATTTTTTTCAAATAAACGGTTATATGATTAATAAACGATTATGCGATTAAACAGTTAAGTAATTAATAAATGGTTATACAATTAATAAACGATTATATGATTAAATGGTTAAGTGATTAATAAATGGTTATACGATTAACAAACGATTATACGATTAAACGGTTAAATGATTAATAAATAGTTATACAATTAATAAACAATTATACGATTAAACAGTTATACAATTAAACAATTATATGATTATATGATTATTAATCATGTAACTTCTAATTAGACGACACGATTAATTATCTGCATAATTTTTCGCGATTTCAAACTCTAGTTTTTACTATATAGAATAACTCTTATATTCTTTATAAAGTTGGTATACTCTTACTTTCTTATTTGGCATATATTGCTTACTTGTCTTAGCAACAAAAATTTTACAAAAAAGTAGACAAAACAGCTTACTCCTATCAAAAGATCAGCATTGTTTATATTTTTTAAATCCGAATAACATAGTAAATGGCAACTATGTATTTAGCCTAAATGAATATAGAGCTACTATTTTGAACTAATTTGAGTTAGGGGCCTTCTGATGACTAGAAAGAGATCAAGAACTTCCAGACTAGGTTTGCAAAAACAAAAAAAAAATTCTATATTAAGGCAAAGCTTTATACTAAAGATATATGAATATTGTAATAATATATAATTTTTAAAACCTTGATATAGGTAATAATAGTGCTATCTTAATTGTTTTTTTTTTCAGTGTTAAGGTGATCTCTATGGTCAGGGGCTTTTTATTAGATAATTAACAACATTTACAATTATGATAAGGGTACAACTAGCCACACGTACAACTTTTGGTTGT